ATTTTATTGTTAGGCTTTTGAAGATAAAGAAGAAGAAGAAGAGAGAGGGAAGAAGAAGAAAAGAAAAAAAAAAAAAAAAAACAAAACGAGTGAGAAGAGAGAGACAAAGATGTAGTCGCACGGTTTTTCTTTTTATTTTCTAATTGTGTTCAGTTTTGGAGTATATGTAGAATTGTGTATTCCTTGTTATCATTACAGAATATTTTTCTCAAATAAGAGCAGTTATAAAATTTTCCCGCTGCTAAACAAGCACCAACCAATACTAAGCATTACAAAGTAATATTTATTATGATGTGTACATAAGATACATGTACAACACATAATCATCAAATGAACAGACCCAAAAGTGTAATATACATATTTCTTTCCAGGCTACTTGCTCTCATGCTCTATCGCAGTCCTCGTAAGAGAACATAATTAATCATTTGGCCGAAAAAAAAAAGAGAAAAAAAAAAACTATCCGTGAATGTTTTATTACTTTTTTTTTTTTTACCACAAATTCTTCATTGCTATTTCTCCAAAAGGAACAATAAATACGCAAAGCAACTAACCTAATCCAGTGCTGCTTTGTTTTTCCGATTAGACGGCTTGGGCAGCCCATCAAAGATGGGCCTAGTAATGGCTGCAGCAGAAAGAGCTTGAAAATCCGATTTCAGACTCCACTTAGACGTGGGCCAAATGGACGACAATGACCCATTTTCCGAATCCTGCAAACTCGACGTGCTCGACGACTTGCGCACTCCACTGCCATTGCCACTGTCGTTTAAGAGAGAATCCCCCAAACTCAAAGGAAACGGGCCCGCTCCACCTGTTTCACCATCACCATTCGTCCGGCCCGCTGACTTGGGCCTAAGGGCCAAGCCCTTGCCCGTGATGGACGACGAAATTGCAATGCCGCTTGTGTTTTCCTCCTTGAGAAGCTTTTCCGGAGTGCATTTGCTGAAATCGGCAACGGATTTTTGGCGCCGCCTGATCAGCTTCTCAATCGAGTCGTTAGTTTCTGGTTCTTGAGACATGATGAGCCGATCACCGTTTTCGGCAGCTAAACAGTTGGCGGCACTCTTGGATTTTCTATGGTGGCTCAGTGGAGGGTTGGACGAATTCGAGAATGGCCCATCTTCTAGATAGTGAGAACCCCCTTTTCGGTATACAGACATTTCAAACCCTTCTGATGCTCCTTTCGGATCAACTGACTTGAGACCGTAATAGCCTCGTAAAAGGCTGATGGCCGGTGAGATTTTTTCATCTGACGAAGCTTTCAGTTTTAGTGATGGAAATGAATCGAATATATCGGAGTATCTACGGCTAGATGCAGACTGCTGAGAGCTGCTTGGCCTGCGAGCGGTGGATATCAAATGTCAAATTGATTATCTCAACAGTTTTATTGGAGGGCAATGCAAAGTTTTTATGTTTCTGCCACAACACTTGGATTTCTATAGGTTAAGACTTAAGATTATGCTACAACTAAAATGTAGAAGATAATTATTGATATACAGATACTATGCTCCACCAGTTAAACGGGCAACACTAGAAAAAATTGAAGCTTGACTAAGTCCAATTTTCCTCGAGCCCAAAAAACAGTGAAAAGAACAAAGACAAAGACCAGAAAGCAACGTAAATCTCACATGCCGAGTTCCAGGAGAGGACATGGAATTTTTTATAAGGGTAAGAGGTGCATCCAAGAGAGAAGTCAACAACACAAATATCTAAGACAAACAACATATTAACGTGCAAAAAATGACATGATATCTGCCACCAGATGCTTCCTTCCGCAAGTACAATATTTACAACGAAAAGATATAGCTCACTTGCAGAATATCATAACTTGTTTAGTCGCAAGGAGAATATGATGAAATATCATATTCACAGTAGAACATGTACCTTTTTCAGATGATTATCTTTACTACAAAATAGAAACGGTAACTTGAAAAATAAAAATGAAGGGGAAAATTTTTCAACCAACCTGAACTGTGCATGTATTTCGGGTTTGCAACCTAAACTTACTTTGATTAATTCCAAATTTAACTACATGAAATTAATAACCTCGGCCACTGGAGAAGTAGAGACCAGCTAGAAAATCCATCTTGCAAGCAGGATTTCAAGGGTATTTTCTTAATTTAAGGTCAATTAGTACATTCTTTACTCAAGCCCTTTCATTTTCTCTTGAGTCTTCACAGAGACAGCTTGGAGTATCTCTTCAAGGATTATTACATAGAATTACTAGAGAAGCTACTACTTTCATCAAATGAAATTCCACATGCTAAAAATCCATGGAAGGGAGCCGGCGTGTTGTCCAGTCCCAACAAATAGGAATTGTCTGAAGAGTTGATGCTAATGATGGAGGATCTCTTATCTGGTTCAGATGATTCTATTGAAAACATAATAACCACTAAGCCTAACAGAAGAAAGACACGGAAAAACCAAAGCCCCTTTTCCAGAGAAGACAATCGAATTTGCTTGCACTGGTATTGTCAACTCTGAATGGGCAAGAGCTACTGGAATTTGTTTCACATGAAAGCTGGTGGCACATCTTTACTTTCTACAGTTTGATGTGCAGCTTTTTTGCTCAAGTATATCAAGAGAAACAAGCTTCATGATGTTCGTCGGAAAAGCAAAATCATTTGTAATGCAGGGCTTGAGAATTCATTTGAGAAACATAGAGTTGCACACATTGTGAGATGTAAAAACTTCTCTAGTCTAAGTTTCTTGTAAGAGATGAGCAACATGATGATTTCGAGAGAGTTTTTCAATCATAACCAGTTGGATGATGATATAGAAATGGTGACCCTAAGGCCAAGGCCAGTAAATATAGGAAACGTAAATCATGCAAGAAGATTGATTAGGGACCTCAGTTAAACTTCTTGATTATGCAGCTATTGAAGTGCACATCACTAGTTCAATATACCTAAGGAGAAAGTTGATGGAAGAACTACTTGAAGATGCTGATAATTTTGCGATATAGTCACTGAAACTCCTGTATGAATCATAACTTATATTCTAAAATGCTCCCAAACATACAGTAAGAATTTCATAGTACTTCTACCAATGTCCTTTTTCCACACCTTGATTTTCTTTCACACTTACTTTTGTTTAATATCTTGTGTGTGTATATACGTGTGTGTGTGTACTCACTGACCCTAAAATTCAATTTATCTCCCCACTTTTCATTTAAAATACCGCCTACCACAATTTTGAAGGGTTTTCCAACTGCTTTCTACTTTTCCTGTGGCCGAAGTTGTTAATTATCAATGACGTGTAGTTTAGGTTGGAATTTATCAAAATATGAAGTTTAGGATGCAAGCCCAAAATATAAGCGAAGTGCAGTTTGGATCTAGTTTTTTCCCTAAAAATAAAATACGAACACACACAGAACCATATGAGGTAGAAGTACCGTGGAGGAGTTTCATGTCCATTGGACAAGCTTGGGGAAGGAGGATGTCTCCCGGGACATGGTATTTGGAGGGTCTTAAGAGCAAACATTTGGAGATCTGTCACCAACCCGTTTTGCTTCTTTATGTCTGATACCTAACAACCCAAACGAAAATTACATACAGTAATAATAACAAGACAAAAGCTATGCCTTAGCTCAAACAATGCATTCAATATAGAACCAACAGCACAAATATGGGATAATGCACAACCATAGTGTTAAGGGCACACTAAATCACTACCGCCTATTCTACGATGGTAGCACAACTAACACGAAAAGGGCGTGCAAAGAAAGCTACTAGAAATCAATGTGGATTACACCGCAGGACAAATAAAGGAACTGAATTTAGCAGTTCTTTAATTTAGCTACGAACAATCATCCCAAAAGGAGCTACGGGATTCCAACAAAACAGGAGAACACATAAAATCCAGAATAATGGTCTCCAAATTCAACAATAAAAATAATCAAACACATAAATATCTTGAAAATAGGTTGATTCCATACTTCGACTCCGTATTTGATTGCCACACCCGCAAGAGTATCGAATTTCGTCACGGTGTGTAGTATGTAGTTTACACCACCGTGAACGCCGACTCCCACGGTGGCGGACGGGGGAGACGACTTCGACAGAGATCTTGACGGTGAAGATGATCCAACCATTCCCGTCCGCAGATATTCGCCTCCTCCATCATCATTCATTCGCAATAACCTTTCTCTCTCCATCGAAGAGAAAAAAAAATTAAGAAGAAGAAGAAGAAACAAAAAAAAAATTATCGGAATGTGTACATTCCGATTCAAATCAACACAACATATAAAACACCATCTTCATATCAATTTCAGGTGAGGGATTTTTGCAGATCTGGTTAAGAGTATTGCCGATGGTCTTCTATTCGTCTCTCTCTCTCTCCGTTTGTATATGTTAATATGCCACACGTAGACTAATGTGTCTATCTATTTATTTAATTTCTCTTTAAAGTAATTTTTAAATTTTAAATTTTCTCCTAATGGAAAGTGAAATTTGTACAAAACGGAAAAAACAACATAAATTGGGGAATAGTTTTTGTTTTCCTATTTTTTTGTGCTATATTTCCTTCTTTTCCCTTAACTTTTTTTTTCTTTATTTTTCAATTGTTGTCATGGTTTCCAACATAGAAGGGATTAATAAATAAAAATCGTGAATTGCTACCCTATTACTACCTACAACCCCATTTGGACGAAAATATCCCTGTCATAATTCAGTTTCTTAAAAAGGAAAACTCTCCCTCTCTCGTTCAGTCGTCGTCTCACCACTGCCTAAAAAAATTTTGAAAAAATGAAAAATCCTCGCCATGGCCGAAGCAAAGGATTCATGATTCGCTCGATATGTTTTTTTATTATTATTTCTAATTTTTTCTTTTTAAAAAATATTGAAGCTTCAAGCCAATCGGCCGCCCGCCGAGGTAGAGGCCGACCGATGCTGGTGCGGCCGGTTTCGGGCATGCAGCCGAACCGTAGGCGACCGACATTGTTGGTCAGCCGCACACTAATTGGCCGCCATTGGTGGCCAGCCACGCCCATGGCGCTCGTCATCGTCGTCCAGCCATGCGCTCGGCGACCAGAGTTAATTTTTTGTACATAATTGAAATTATATGAATATGATTAAATATTTAACAATAGAATTGACTTAATTTTTTTATTTACGTTAATTTAGATAAATTTTAGTTTAATAGTTATTAACAATGTGTTACTTATAAATAATATATTATAAATATTAGTTAAATATAATTATATTAAAATTATGATAATAATTTTAAATAGAGTTAATTGCTAAATAAACTTTAACGTTTTTGCGTTTGGCAATTTTATCTCAATCTTTGGGTAATAGCAATATAATCTCGACCTCAATTTACTTATTGCAAGTCTAACCTAAAACCGGTTGGACCTTCAAAAAACTGGTCGATTTGAAGGCGGTTCAAACAGATCAGAGCTCATATTTACCGGCTCTCTCTAGATCTAGGAGGAGACTAATCAGCGGTAGCTTACATTCACGTGGAATTTTCGGCTATGTGCGTGGATATACATTAAATACGTGGAAATTGTCAACTTGTTACGTGGATGGCATAAAAATCCGTGTCAATGGAAGACTTGGACACAATATCGATACACAAATCCTTAAAATCAATCACTCTGTACCCAAATTTGCAATAAGTAAATAGAGGTCGAGATTATATTGCTATTACCCAAAGATTGGGTTAAAATTGCCAAACGCGAAAAGGTTAAGGTTTATTTAGCAATTAACCCTTTTTAATAATATTAATTATTAATAGGATAATGCATCTAACTTTAGTATTTTAGGAAAGAAGTAGTTGTAAT